TGATAAAAATTATATTAAAGCGTGTGTAATATCAAAAGTTAGATAATAGGAAGGAAAATGTCTACACATGAATTCATCGACTGGGAATGGTTTGTGTGCAATAATCAAGTGATCCAAAACAGATTGTTACGCTACCTACTCCCGATGTTTATTGAATGTCATTAGATGTAACAGTAAAACAGACTACTTTGGTCTGAGATGTAATTGCTTCCCAACGTATAGAGAATGCCGAGGTGGTAAGTGTCAAAATTCGATCCAGACTGAATGTATGAATAGTAAAGATGACTAAACGCATACACATAGCATGCCATAAAATCCAAAACAAACCCGTGTTTCTGATGACTAAATAAAGAAATAATCAAGTTTTGGAATAAATATTCACATCCTCTCAACATGACGTATGCAGCAACTACTCCTCAAGACAATTGTAATTCGTCGTTTCATATTTCAATGAAGTAAAATTATTCATACTACTACATTTATAAGCAGCACCCCACAGCCAGGGTCGAAACCCACGTCAGTGGTATGTTTTATAGTGTTTCAAAATAATATACTGGAGTCTGATAAATTATATTACTATGCAATGACATTATTTGATTGGCTGAAATACACCGAGGTGTCGCTAACTTATTTTATTCATTCAAATAAATTTCCTCATTTTTATATAACATGGAAGAATAACTCCACTTTATTGAAACGAGTTGCAAATGTTAATACAATGGCGAGTCATCGCAGATGCGAATCGTGCCTTTATAAGCAAATTCCCGACCACTCGATGAGCAATACTGATAGGCTAGAATTATGATTTGAGAAATTAAACAACTTCCTACGAGGAAGGATATAAGTACAGTGTGACTGTTAAATTAAATGGCATACAGTCAAACTGCATACAAAACTTTTCGATGAAGGAAAACTTCAATATTTTCCATAGAGGCGAAAAGATTCACCTGAAAGAACGTTAAGGACAGCAACAATTCAAGCCAATCAGAACCAAAGTCGTTATCTCCTAAGTGAATAATTCTCCAATAAAAAAGTCCATTGCAATGAAGCTAGGTACATTTTGTGATACCGTTAACAAGATAATAAACAAGATTTTGAATTTTACAATCGTTCACAGACCAAACGTTTACAACCTTTAAGCCATATCTCGATATCAAAGGTGTTTTAATGAGAAAAATAGTCGAAGAAATAGGCATCACAGCCTGACAAGTCCTCCAATGTAGCTCTCAAGGACTTTTATCTATTTGATTTGTTTGTGCTTAAATGTGGTCTAGGAAGCCGGCACCCATGTACAGTCGAGGGTTTGTGGGAATTTTGTAATCTTTTTGGTCGAAGCTTGTTACGGTACAGTATTAGAACATTATAGTAAACGGGGCATTATACAGCATTTGCTAAAATTAAGTAAGTTTTAAGATTTTTGTTCCAAATTTAAAACTTCGAGGGAAAGTATCATAGATTAGGCGTGAAAAACATTACTATAATTGATATAATAATTAGACCTAACGTGATGGTGCGAACAAAGAACAGTGGAATGTGCACAAAAAGAAGAGAAAAATCTTAAATCACTAATTTTTTTTTCATATTTATGTCAATAACACAGTAATGTTTATTTCCGCAAATAAAACTATGGAGTAATAGTAAACATAATATAAAGATCCAGATTCATTTGCTTGTTTGCTGTTCAGCGCAAAGCCACACAATAAGAAGTCCACAGTCTAACTGCTGAGTAACCAGCGGGGGTCCATATTCATTAACGTAGTGTTTTAAGTATAATAAAATAAAATAGTAAAGTGTAAAAGCCCCAAATGGTAACCAGAACTATTTACTTTTGATAAGATAAACCACATGAGCTGTAAAATATTTAAAATGTATATAAGTGTTTTATTATTATTACCTACTTGTCTTGATAAATGTGAGAATACACCCTAATCCTATTTAACATTTAAATTTTAAGCAGTTTATCAGTTAGAAACAAGACATCAAGATATATGTTTTGTATTTCATGTTTCGTTAGAAATATGGGACATGCACATTTGAGAATATACTTAGTAAGAATTATGGAAACATATCTGAAATGATACATCATATATGTAAGTATATGGCAGAGTTGATAATACAGGCGTTTCATGGCTTGTAAGATATTTTGTTCTGTCCGTAACATTAAGCAAAAAACACGTATCGGTTGAGGAGTAAGTCTGATCTTTTTTATTCACAAGAAAGAGCATAAAACATTTCATTCCTCTATTTGATATATAACTATTTTATGTTTGTTTTGTTATTTCTAGAAATATAAAAAACAGCCAGATATTCATGAAAGAAACGAGGCTGCAAAGAAGGTTCAAAGGCGATGGAGAAGATATATTGAACAAAAATCCATAACAAAAAGAATGCAGCAAGGCGATTCTTCTGGAAGTGTAATACTATTGATATTTTTACAGTTATTGCATCTCAAGATAATGACAGGTAAAGTTTACATCCACTATTGTCAGAACAAGAAGTTGGACTGAAGGAGACACGTAAAAATACCGAAACTTGTTTCCATATAAACATCTTGTACCGACAATAGTGGATGTAAACTTTATTATATTTTATATTATTCTACACGTTATTGTGTGTTTACTTGCTATCATAATGACATATGTTTTCCAGTTCAGAATTTGAAATTTTAGTTTAAAAACCATTATAAAGAGTATATAATAGGGAAAAAAAACCAAAAAAACATCTGTTTGATGTTACAATACTCTATAAAGATGTGTTTACTCATTAATGGACGTTTGTTTACATATGTTTTAGAAATAGATATTTCTATAAATACAAAACTACTAAATAAAAATAATATTCATCAACTACAAGTGAGCAAAACATTCAGCACCAAAAATCAAAGATGCGAAATCTAGTTAAATTGTTTTTTTTTAATTTTGCGCAAAGCTACACTAGCCGTCCCTAATTTAGCAGTGTAAGACTAGAGGGAAGGCAGTTAGTCATCACCACTCACGCCAACTCTTGGGCAACTCTTTTACCAACGAATAGTGGGATTGACTGTCACATTATAATGCCCCCACGGCTGAAGGGGCAAGCATGTTTGGTGGGACAAGGATTCGAACCTGCGACCCACAGATTGCGAGTCAAGTGCCCTAACCACCTGGCCATGCGGAACATTAGTTAAATTCAGTCGATTCACCATGAAGAGAACATTTTATAAAGATACCTCTGTGGCGTGGAAAAAAAAAAACATCTGTTTGATATTATAGTAACTTATAAAGACGTGTGGTAATAAGCTGTTGTTGTATTTTCAAAATGTCAGACAATGCTAGAAGGCAATGACAGAATTTCTGGAAGAATCCGAACATACATCAGTGGTTATCGTCCATTACCTCCAGATCAAGATGATCTTTCAAAAGAATTAGTACCAGTCTCTATACCAGTAAGTTTTCATTTTTATTTAGTTGTTTTGCTACTACATTGTAAAGGTATTAGAATACTTTGTTGTTTCACATTTCTATGTAAATAATAGGTCAGTTTATCTAACCGTGGATAACTTCAAACAAATATGGTAAGCAGTATATTTTATAATAAATTAAATACTTACATTTTGAGTAATAACACTTAATTTCTATGCATGCGACAGTGCAAACCTCTTTTTTTTTTCATACCTTGTTCATATTAAGGATTTTGAAGTACCCGCACTCTTGCGAACCTAGTTTCATGAGAGTAAAATTTCAGTTTTGACTTAACGTGGCTTTCTTTGAACCTATCAAAGGCGGATTTTCAGTGTAAGGTATCAAACAGTGATAAAAACAACGATATGTGTTCAACTATTTTGTCATCATTCCCAAATTTAAAATTGTTTTGTTCTTTCTGTATTTAAGTTATTTCTCACTTTGACAGTAATATATTTCGATTTATTGTAGTTTTGGCCTCCAGACCCAGATACCACAGATTCTGTTTTCCACACTGTGAGAGACCAGTATCGCAATCCTGAGGAGCAAATGGGATTTAAACACTTTTATACTATTCCTCGACAGATGGATCCAAACCTAGGAATGCTTCTCTTCATGGATGAGGATTACCAACATTCAAAGTATCATTCTATTTTTACACCTACTTTCTGACCTATGTAGTTAAATACTTCTTTCTGCTAAATGCATTGTTTCTCCGTCTCCTTTGGGAAATAAACAAATATTAATAATTAGATTACAAATATTCCATCCTTAGCATTAACTAAAAAAAAATACAAGAATGAAAGTAATAGTTGCAATATACAATAAAAGTTATTGTACCTGATGAAAATATATATCAGCAATATTGTACGAGGTTCAACACATAAATAAGTGTTCGTATGCATTGATGGTATCTAAGTCTGCCCCTTTGTCTTTATACTGTAATAGGAATAATTACGGAACACAAGCAATACACATACAAATGTCGCAAACAGTAGGCCAGTAATTATTTGTGGTCCCTAGAACAACTTGCAATAGTAATGAAACCTAGTGCACCATATGTCCTTTCTAAGAAATTCCATTTTAAAGAGGAAGGTTGAAGCTTTGACGAAAAATCATGAACAACTGGTAATTCATTGTAACTTTGGTATTAATAGTTGGATTTTAGTACAGTAAAATTTATTTTATTTGTATAAGAGTGTTTTTAGTTTACTAAAAATGCATTAAAATCGAATAAGCCAAACATCTGCATATTTGACCGAAAATCTGGTTTTGATCAATAATCTTGAAAAATTGATTAATGTTATTCAATCTATAGAATTGTAACCTTTAGCTTGGACAAATTACAACAGAAGACAAAATTTTCAGATTATCAACTTAAGTCCTTAGAAGTGATATTTCCAGTTTCGAGGTGAATTAGCTCAAGTTGAAGGAACATAAATTTATATTATTGTTTAATTACTCTACATCATATACAAAAAAAAATCATATAAAGATTTTAAAATTGGGCATCTTCATTTCTGGGGAAATCTTTGTTTAAAAAAAAATCCTGAAAAACTTCTTTGCTTTTGACGATGGTGTAGACGTAGGGACTTCATAATATTCACCACCAGTATCGGCTGGTATAGCAGCTACAGCAATTCCAGTTAAGGCTACAGGCAAGAGAGAACATCGTTGTATAATATTCCTCTTCCTATCATACATTTCAGTCTCTGCTATTGCTGAAGCCTCTACACTACTCATACCTCCAACTATGAAAACATGAGCTCCTAGGAAAGAGAGAAGAGTTTTTATATTTATGTATCCACTGATTTCAAACTATATAATACGAACAACTTACAATGAACATTTTTGCTTACAAAAGCATTTATAAAAACAAATAATTCATTTGCTCTTACAGTTAACTTTTTGCGTACACTGATAAAACAAAATTAGGTTTTGCTCACAATACCTTAATGGTATCTAAATAGTCTTACCAGTTTTAGCAACTGCATGACAATGTTTCGCTAACTCAAAGTTCATATGATGTTCTAATGTCCCTTTCTTTGGGTCTAAGACATCTATAGAATCAATGCTTGAAAGAAGTCCTTCTTCTGACAGATTAGCACCGCCCCAAATCCAAATTTTTTTATTTTGCGTTGTGGCCGCAGAAAAAGCGCGAGGAGAACTTAATGAAGGTTTTCGATACCATCTAAGAAAAGAGTGATAATATTTTGTTTTAATATTCCACAACTTAATAATAAAAGCCATTTTATATATGTTGCCTTTATTTTTAGCATCAACAGTTGAAATTTACAGTTAAATAAATTCTATCAAAATGATACTTAACTAGCGCAGTTATAGTAGAAAAATCAATATTTACTTAATTCTTTTATATAACTTATATTAATTCATTTGAAAAAGTAAAAAGGATGGTCTGCTTGGAAACTTACTTGTTATTCAATGGGTCGAACGTGACAAGTAAGTTACCCATAAGTATGATATCTGTGTCTGTCTGATAATTTCCACTAACATAAAAGTTTCTTACAAACTACACTATCAGTTTATTATTAAGAAGACACGAAACTTTAAAGGGGTCATTTTGAAACCAACCGTACAGTTTGCTTACAGAATCTTAGCTGCAGTGGAGATGTATGAACCTGAAATGGATCAATGGACTACTCTAGCATCAATACCAGAACCAATGATGGGAAGTGCTATTGCAAACAATGAAGGAATCATATACGTAATTGGTGGCGTGACAACTAATAAAGAAAAGAAACCAGAGGGTAACTTGTCTAACAAAATTTTTTGCGAAAAGCTTTTCACATTCTTAGTCCATTTATGTGCAGTTATAAATAAAAAATGTGTTTTCAGATTTTTCATTAATAACATTTTTAACAGTATCTTTTGTATAGCATTATACGTATTTTGGATTTCCATTATTTTCTTATTGCCATCGCAAGTCATTTTACACTTGTATGCACTGGCATGGCCAGGTGGTTAGGTCGATGGTCCGAATCCTCTTCCCACCCTTTCAGCCGTGTGAGCGTTATAATATTACGATCAATCCCACTATTCGTTGATAAAAGAGTAGCGGTGGGTGGTGATGACTAGATACTTTCTCTCTAGATTTAAACTGCTAAATTAGGGACGAAATTCAAACCAAAAACCTAGCCTAGTGACAGCCAGAATTTCAATATTTTCTGTTCTTTTTCTATCTTAATCAAATGAAACCCGATTTCATGTAAATTATAAAGATAGATTTTAGTTACAAGTGTAACTGATTTTACTGTCTAACTGTCATGTTAAAAAGGTAGCCTTCTTTCTTTTTGTTGGTACAATAAGATTGAATTAAACTAATAACGCGTTTGGTAGGATGCATAAATCAATGAATCTATCCAGCTTTCTTTTAAATTCAGCTTACATTTTTGTAAGAAATGCATTGATAAGTCAAATTTCTAGCTTTATTTGTGTTGCATTTTTACTAATAAATATCTTCAAATGACACTAGGTGGCTACAATCCGTTACACTGTAGAAAAGGCAAGATGCAAGCAACAGCGACCACGTTTCAATTGACAGTTCAGACCAAACAGTGGAGAAAAAGAGCGGACATGCGATATGCTCGAGCGCACCATAACGTGACAGTTATGGATGAAAGAATTTTCGTATTTGGTGGAAGAGATTCGAACGGAGAGTATTTTATTCAATTTAAGCTGTCTTCTTACTATAATAAGTAAATAACTTAAACATAAAATAATATGTAATAATTGAAGTAATAATAAATAACTTAATTGACACTTCATCACATATATATATATCTATAACGAATAAAAGTTTCTATAAGGAGTACTAATAATTATGCTGTAAAATTAAATTACTTACCAAACACGTAAACTCTCCTGTGAAGATATGCTACTACGTGGCTCCATCATAGTAGTATAAAAATTCCATTTGTTTCGGTCAGGGTGGTATATAAAAACTGAGGAGCCTTGATACACAATAAAACAGTAAATGTAATAAAATGTAAAATAATTAAAACATTTTTATTGCCTGAGGCTTATAAAGAATCCGTTTTACAGGATATTTTGATTAATAAAACAAAACAACAACAACTTTGAAGTTGCATCCACAGCGAAGATAGCTCATTGTGTAGCATTGCGCTCAACAATAAAACAAACAAGTATAAAAGTAAAATTTACTGGTTTTAAGACTGAGGTGTTAAAAAATAGGTGGAAGATTACGTTTAAATTCAAAATGATTTTGAAAAACTAATTGCAGACTTGATTATCAGCATTATAGTACTTTATTTTCCAGGAATTGCCAAGTCTTGAGAGACTACCGAACAAAGGATATTACTTATAACTCCGACTTAGTAAGTAAAGTTTTTCTGTAAATTAAGTTTTAGAAAATGTTTGTCAAATTTAGAAAGTTAATTTTATTTTCCTACATGATTCTTGTTTTAATATTATTTAATACCTCACAGGTTCAGCGTAGTAATACATAAAGGGTGGAAAGAAATAAGTGGTACAACTATGATTAAAAATACCAAACAAAAGCATTCTACTGCCCCCAAAAAATATGACGTTTTAGGCATTTAGGCTACAAACACTTATGCATGTTTAATTACAATACTATAAAAACAACTTTATTTTCTGGAGATAAATATGAATTAGATAACGTAATATATTTTAAATAAACAAAAACAAATAATGTATATTTTTTATCCTTTCTTAATAACAAATAACACAACTCCAGAATGCAAAGACTTCACCAAGATTTTGGCCTCAGTATGGCAGAATAAGATGCATCCAACTATAATGTATCCTAAAACAACTTTTTAATGTTAATATATTGACACATTATTTGAGAAGTTCAGACTTCTCCACCTTAGAACATCTACTACTAGCTTTTATTACAATCCCAAATGGCTTTCCAAATTAGTTTTGGATCAATCAGAGAAAACATATCTTCCATATATCAAGCTCCATATACAATTTCTATACAGTTTAAATTGTACTTTGATTCGTTCTTAATCAGTCAGAATTTAGGATTCAACTGAAACCTTCTTCCTATTTAAAAATTGTGGTTTGTGTCTAGTGTGTATTTTTAGATGTGTCATTAACCCTCAAATGACCGAATACGTTTTTTATACAATTCAATGCCGGTGTAGTCCATCTAACGTATCACCTTCAGTAATCTATGGGAATAAATGCAGTATTGATGATATTTTGTTTAATTGTGTGTGTGTGTGATTCATATTTTTTAGAGAACCTATAACCAAACAAAATTCATGCACTCACAAGCACATTGGCGCAAACATATTTTAGTGAAACGCGTTTAAAAAAAACCATGGAATCCCATCGGTAATCGTAGGGTTAATATGTTTATCAATAGAACAAATAGTGGTAGCCTTGCCTAGATAAATGCAAATAAGGCGATAGATAAGTGTTTTTAATCACGTAGATATATCAGTAATTCGTAAGCTCTGTCTAGACTATATATAGCTGGTACCCGAGGTATAATTTAGAATAGTGTAAACATTTTGTGTATATTTCTCAAGATTGAAAAGCAAAATATCATGTTGTTTCGTTTGGTTACCTGGCCACTTTCTTAGCAAAAATGCAGCCATGTTGTGTGTAAAATATAGTAGGTGTTTCGTTTCCTTTAAATTAGTGTTAATTAGGATACGTATATAGTGAGATGTTTTTTCCAGTCAGGGCAGAGATTTTATAGAGATTCCTCCAATCAGACAGAGGTATTGTGGTTGTGTCCAGTGCACTCGATCTGCACGTAAAGGAGTTCTGTACACTGTATCGTGCTATACAAAAGCGAATAAAATTTTAAGTCTTCAACTGGGCAGCCTCTCTTCTTTAACCCAGTCAGATTAGAAATTCATATTAACTCTATATTACTAATTCTATCCGATATACTTCTAGTTAGAGCGGTTACTATTATTGCCTGAAGGTGATATGTATACCAGAGAATACCACATTTAAAAAATGGTTACTTTCTTCACTTTATTGGAAGAAGAACACTACATTTTCTGACACAAAATTCTTTATTCAAATAATTCCATCTTTTCAGTTAAAAGTCAGTCACAAGAATCAAGCGCCGAATTTTCGAAAAGAATTGTTCAGTAACTGGTGCAACGATACAGATATATATATATATATTATCATTAGGCAAAAAATCTTATTTTATTTGTTATAAAGCAAAGTTCTGCCCACAGTTTGGCAGGAACAGTAATTATCTAGGTAAAAAACGTAAATTTCCCACTTAGCTTAGAAGGCAGTGAATTATAAACATAGAAAGCAAATTTTCCGACTGGGTAGATATTTGATTTTCTCTCATGAATAGCTTGCTAAGATGATGGTTTTAAAACTGCTTTTGTTTCTCGACAATAAAGTAAGTGACAAGAATATGATTGGGTCAGATAGACAGATGAAAGTAATTCTTGAACAAGATGATTAAACAAGTAAAACGAAATTTAGATTTATCTTTAAACGCTGTACACGTGTATGCATCACCATGTAAAACAAATTATGCATTTCTTTTTTTAAGACTCCCAGTGGCAATAGCGGTATGTCTGCGGACATACAACGCTAGAAACCGGGTTTCGATACCCGTGGTGGGCAGAGCACAGATAGCCCATTGTATAGTTTTGTGCTTAACTTTAAACAAACAAACAAACAAATCCTTTTTCAGAAGCTACTAAACACTATTCAAAAACGTTTTACAGGGGTTGAGTACGTTATATTAAAACATTTTGGAGCCTCAACACATCGTTACAGTCCATATAGCCACGTCAAGTCATGCTCAGACGACCGCACACCTTGACAATGTTTCTACGACGTAATTTTCAGGGCAAAAGGCTCCGTCATAAAGAGCACACCACTCTTCCCTCTGTGCTTTCCATAATAGTACAAACAGTACGAGAACGAGGGTGATTCAGTGCCAGTTTCAATAGTTTGATCGCACAGGAATCCATAAAAATTGCATCTGGCGTCTTGACCAGTTTGTCTTCATATGGAATACCACGAATACTTGTACACATGACTTGTGTTGTTTTTCCAGTGAGAAATCCCAAAAGTATATCGAAAAGCTGACACCAATAAAGAAACCTTCCAGTAGCTTTCCCATTAGAAATTCATTTTACAAACTGATCCACCTGCTAACCAAGCATGGCCTACATAGAGATTACCTTTTTTGTGCTTAAATTGTCTTGAAACATGCCTGTGATTACGGGACACATTAGTTGTTTAAAGTTTCGAATTATTGAAATATCCTGTCAGTCAGTGCATCATTAAATCATTCACAATGTTTCAACAATTACCAGCATGAGACTATTGTAAAGTCTTTCTGGGTGTACTGCCAAATAACCTAATGGTGAAATTAATCTATAATAGCTTAATTTTACCTACAAAAACGTTCAATTCGGAATATAATCTAGGTTATTGTGATTACTTGAAATTTCAATAACATCCAAGTATTTGGGGAAATCCTCTATACAAACCTGTTATTAATGAAAATTCTACCTAAGCCTACTTCTGCGTATAGAGATATCGTACGATCATCAGGTGCCTATCAAATGAACGGAAAATTGTATTAGAGTTTTGTGTTTATCAGACTATAATGTCAGCTGTCTGATTGCTACACAAACAAATAAAAAATAAAAGAATCTAATCGAATTCCTTGCAAAGGTTGATAATGTCTTCACAAGAAACTTCTAGTAAATGTTTTGTTTGTTTGCTATAGCCCAGATACACAATGGGCTGTCCGCGCTGTGTCTATCAATAGGAATCGAGCCCCGGATCCGAGCACTGCAAGTCCGTACAATTACCGATGACCCACTGTAACTTTCCGGATAATAATTAAATAATTTTGTATTTCAAGTATTAAGGCTTTTCAAAACAATATTATCAGTAGTATTACGTAAAAATAAATAAGGTGAATAGGACAGATAATTAGTAATGATATTTTTTCAAAAAGTTAATTTAATATTTCAACTTTATGCTTTATAAAAGAAAAATTAGATATTGATAAAAACAATAAAAATCATTATGAATCACGCCATGACTGATATTAATATACAGCAGCCAGGCAAATCTCTACAGCATTTTAAACCATAATTACAAGAAGTGAAAATATTAATGGACTAACACCAAATAAAAATATTGCTATATTATATTTATGTAAATAAGATATTATTATAATATTAATGTTATCAATTTTAAAAGTAACTGCAAAATATCTATGCTTTATAAGCTATTTCAAATATTATAATATTATATCTATCTATCTATATATTATTATATTATTGAACAGTGATATACGATTTAAGTATTCATCTGGTCGTGCCGTGTTGATTCTACCAAATGCCAAAAAAACAACATTGATACAGTAATAAGTTTTAACCTTTGAAAACTGAGATTAATAAATTTTCACATGTCAAACAGATATAACTACATAACACTCGTGTTAAGAAGTTATGCAAATTTAAGTCCGAAATGAATCGTTATGAAAGCGAATTTAAGTCTTTACAATATTTAATTTCAGAATATTACATGAAATACAAAACATGAAATTTTCTATCATGTGCTAGCTCTACATTATCCGTAATCTAAAGCCCTGTATTAAAAAGATCAGAGAATTACAAGTAAACATATTGAACATTGAATATAAAATCATGATTTAAGCATCAATATGAAATGACGTGTAAATTAACTGTCCACTTTAACTTTCAATATTTCAAATATTACTCCGTGTAAAATAATTATCAAGCTACAAGATCTAACCTTTTCCTTTTATCCTCAAAATAAAAAGTTCAGAATTATTAATAAAAAGCTTGAATATTTTATTTCGTATGTAATGAAATCTCATGCTATGAATCAGTATTGAATGTTAATCACTTTAACATTTCGAAAAACAATCGTAAAGCAACTGATATCATCATAATAAAGTAACGCAAAATAGCCATCTTCATTTTAGATTGTAATTAAATTGGGTAACAGGGGATTCACTCTTCTCTTATTCTAATTAGGTGTTAAATCAACCATTAAAGTAAATTAACGCAAGATAAGTAATAAACGTGTGTTTCAAACCCGGAATCGAGCGTTTGTAGATAGAAACAGATATGAAAACTTCAATAACTGAAACAAAAAGCTATAAACAGATAGAAGCGTTGGAGACTATTTCATTTAATAAATGTTTTGTTTTGATTTATAATTGTTCAGGTCTTTTTATCTAAAAAAGCGACATTAATTTATTGACGACCTAATATTTTAATACCTCTTAAACCTTACTTACATCTTATTTTGGAATGAAAACTAAGATATGCATCAATGAAAAGTTTATCGCTTATTATTGCATAAAACATACTTGAGTGTAACTATGGGAAGTTAACAAGTTGTGTGCATGATTTTTAATGCATGCTCTACTAAATTTATCCTATTAAACAGAACGGCCCCATTCATGTTCTAGGATTATTACTGACACACTTCGTGATATAGAATATGTACAAATTTATGTTCAACGAATATTTTCTGTAAAAAAGGAAAATTAAAACGAGATTTATTACTGATGAAAACATATTTGGTTTCATTTAAACCAAAGTTACGCCACTACGGCTTCATTGGGCAAACAAGACAGTTACTAACACAATTTAAAATTATTCGAGTCTGCATAATTATGTGGACTTCACAAGAGGATATATAACCATAATCAGTTGTTGTAAAATGTATTATTGTACATTGCGAAGATGAAAGTACATGCAAACAGAGAAAATTTTACTATCTAAAGCACACATAAAATATGTTATTATGATAATTATATAGGAACAGTAATAATTACGAATTCCATGATGGTGTTTTGTTTAACTATGTCATATTTTGTAGTTTGCACTACACACTAGCTCTTATAAAATTTACTGTTTTAATGTCGCTTTTTTTGGATGAAAAAACCTGAACTTATATATCAAAACAAAACATTTATTAAATGAAATAGTCTCCATTCTTATCGATGATGCTTTTCCATCTTACAATCTGGTTGTTAATGCCCTGATTAAAGAAATCACTTGACTTTGAAGCAAAAAACATGTCGATCTCCTCTTTAACATCTTCCACACTTGCAAACGTTTTTCCATTAAGATGGTGTTGCAGTGAACGAAAAAGATGGTAATCTGATGGTGCCATATCTGGAGAATATGGTGGGTGGGGGAAACCTCCCAACTCAACTCCATAATCTTATGTTGCGTCAAACGTGCCACATGTGGACGTGCATTGTCGTGGAGAAGAAGAAAACCTTTCCAATTGACGACTGAAGGGCGTTTCTGATGAAGGACTTGATTTAAACGTTCCAGTTGCTTATTATAGATGTCTGCATTGACAGTTCGCTGTGGATTGAGGAGTTCGAAATTAATTACTCCTTTGATATCCCACCAAATGCAAAGCATCATTTTCTGCGGATGGAGTCCAGGTTTTGGGGTCGGAAGTGGTTTTTGTTTAGGACTGAGCCATTGTTTTTGGCGTTTAATATTCGCAAACAGAATCCATTTTTCATTACCGGTGACAATTCTGTCCATTACGCGCCAGAAGAGACGAAGCAACGTTCACACGTTGGAAACGATGATCATCGGAGAGCTCGTGAGGCACCCAAAACACCTTCTTTATGGAGTTTTCACATATTCCTTAGACGTTTACGCATTGTTTCGTGAAAGACGTGCAATTTCAGGGTCATTTCACGAGTGTGTTGCTTTGGGTTAGACTCAACAAGCGTCTTCAATATCAGTTCCGACATGTCGGCCCCTGCCATCACACTTTTTAAAGCTAATGTCATCTGAACGAAATTTGCTGAACCATCGTTGACACTTATGAACGTTCAAAACATTTCCATAAACTTCTTTGATATTCTTTGTGGCTACAGAAGCGTTGTTTCCCTTCTTGTATTCAAACAGCATTTCATAACGAATGTGGGTCTCGTCGTGTGCAATCACTATAAGGGATTAGAGTATACAAAAATTTTAACATTATGTAGGCTACACTAGCGTGACATTTAGGCGGTTCGTTTAACTATTATGCTTGATGTACGTTTTTTTTTTTGTGGGGGGGGGTTAATGAAAGTATTCAAAAACGCGACATTAATTTCTTGACGACCTAATAGATTATAATAATTTGAATTATAAATATAATTTGGATGGGAATAACCTTAACAGTGTTATGAAAGAAAATAATCTTGGTATAGTGGTTGATGTCTCTTAAGCCATCCAAGCAGTGTGCTGTTGCTAGTGGTAGAGCAAATAGGATCTAATCAAAAACACATTAGTTTGAAAAACTGAGGCAAAATATAACTAAAATATCAACCTTTGGCATGTGAAATGAAAAAAAAAGCTATGTTACTTTTGTTTTAATTTCCAAACCTTTTTCACAAGAAAAATAATAGGAAAACAAGTTAATTCATCATTCAAACTTTCAATACTGGAAACAGAATTCAGTACATAATCTTGCTATAGCATGAGCGCTTATTTATTGTTCTAAATATATACTCTGGTCACGTTGTTTTTGATGTTGGGATATACTATTTCCTTTTTTTCAATTCACTTTATTAAATTTTCTTTAATAAAAATTATATCATTGACTTTGGACGTACAGCAAGGATAATAACATATGCTTAGAAGCAAACGAACAAACAATATATTAAAATATTAAATATTTTTATGAGACGGTAACAAGATAGAATGTCCCTAACTAGCATTACTTTAATTACCTAGCTTTGCCAAGTGTGTTTAAAGTCTAATGAATATGGATTTATTTGTATCTCAATATTCTATCAAAGAGTAATGAGAGATACAACCAGTTGTTTTGTTTTGGGGTATTTAAAAGATTGGGAAACGTGTTAAGTATATGTGTTGGCATATGATAGCTCTAAAAATGTTTATCATGAACCATAATTATGTGTCCTCATTACGTTATTTTAAGGATCTAGCAAGTGGAAATAAATACTACAGTGCAAAGAAAAGTAGTTTGTAGACAATGGTACCAAAACGATTTCCATAGAAATTCGTAAAAAGTATGGCTTTTTCCACAAGCAACCTATTTTTCTCCATCACGCACAGATTTTTCACAAAACATCATATGTTCTTTTACATAAGTGAATCATTTTCATTGAAATTGTGTCACATGTTCTTTTGCTTAAAATGTTGACAATCACTGGCAGTAGATCTCTCTAGACCAATCGCGACGTAAGAGTCTTATCGATCGTTCTATAATTCATGAGAAGCACATCGCTAGTATATAAACGGTTATCAGGCGCATGACGTGTCATTTCTGGATATTATTTGTTTGTGCGAGCACATTGACATTATTTTTGTTTTTAATAATATTTATTCGTTGCTATGGCAACAAGAGATTGTGTAAATGACCCAAACATATTCTGTTACATTTGTGGTAAATTTGTTGTAAAGAAACAAAGGCAAAACATGACAGAATTCGTCAAAAAGCGTATTACGCGTATTTTGGAATACAACTTTGGGACCAAAACAAATCATGGGCTCCGCACAGAGTTTGCACCATTTCTGTTGAAAAGTTGAGACAATGGACTAAAGGTAAGAAAAATTCTTTGCCTTTTGGATGCTAATGGTCTGGCGTTAGCTTAGAAACCACAGAGATGACTGTTATTTTTGCTCATGTAACGTGCAAGGCTACAACATTCGAAATAAAAAAGAAATTTCTTATCCGAACCTTCAATCTGCTATAAGACTTATTGCTCATGGACCTGATGTACTTGTACCTACTCCACCAGAAACTCTTGATACAGTTTCATCTAATTCTTAATCTGATGTCAATAGAAATGATGATGGGGATTGTTTTCAAACCCGAAACATCTGGTGAACCACAAGTTTTCACACAAGATGACCTTAATCATTTGGTGAGAGATCTGGGCTTTTCAAAGGATTCTTCAGAGATTTTGGGGTCCAGACTTCGGGCTAAGAACTTACTTTCTCCATAAACATCATTTTACTGGTACAAAAACGTGAGAAAGAGTTGTTACGTATTACAATTTCGAATGGTCTGAAACCGAGCTAAATGATAATTTAAATTTAGTAGTTAAATATATGCCAATATGTATCCAATTTATGTAATTTGCCAACAAGATTGATACACATAGTTTTTTTTAATACAAATATTTTAATATATATAAACAATAATACAATTTACAATAACAGATGTTACAAACAGTCATTACAAACAATGATTTGTATACAAAAGTTTTGCAAACTTACAAGCAATATAAAGACTTCTTTCTAGTCTAGAACTTCCATGAAGTCTCATCGAGGGTTCACGATGAGCGAGTTAATTTCGAGTTGATGTAGATACAACTCACTTAA